GCAGGAATTTAATAAGCCTGGCAGTGTGACATTCCAGGAAGATTTGCCTCGCTTCCTGGAGTGACTGGTTTGAGGGTGACTTCTGCAGTCACTCCAGCCCTATCAGGCAGCACTCTGGATTGTCTCAGCCCATCTCCTATCTAGACATGGTCCCACTTTTAGTTAAGTGATATAAGCTGCTACATATAAGGGGTCTAAGCAAAGCTGGATGTATAGAAATCTCTAGCTTTGGTTTCTACTGGCTTCTGATAACCAAGCCAAACTTTTAGTTTAAAGGTCTCACTCCCTGGTCTCATCTTTCCTCTAATGATTTTTAAATCATTTCCAATTTTGCACTCGTTAAAAATCAGAGCTAACCCAAAGCCATGAAACAAGAGAAAGAACAAAGGCTGTCTTATAATCAAGTTTATATTTAAAATGGCTCTTCACTGGGTCCCTGTAGTAGAACTATCCAGGGAATCATGAGGCATTTGACCTCCTTTGAGAGTAGCTGTCTTACTGGTTCATATTAACTTCTGTTGAGGACAAAACTCCTTTGATAATACAACCCAGTAACTCTGTGGTTTAGACCTGATCTCTTGGGTCACTCCTGAGACATCCAGGTTCACCCCAGGTAATCTGGTAGTTCCAAGCAGACACTGGCATGGCATCAAAGGAGGAATGAATTTCTTTCAAGGCCTTGCATCCTATTGGTTTTATTAAACAAGGAATGAACATATTAAATGGTATTTAACGTATTACAAGGAAGAATTGGCTGTACTGTGGCAGGACAATATCATTAGCATCTTTGGTTCCAGGGTAATCGGAAGACTTTTGAGCAGCTTTCAGTAATTCTGGCTCTCCTGTAGGCAAGCACAGCAACCAGCGTGTTGGGTGAGCTGTAATACCACTCTAACAGGGGAGGCTACAACGGCTTTCTGGAAGGAAGCCTCCTCTAGCTTTTAAATCTGTAACAGTTGCAGCGCTTCTGGACAGGGAGGTGTCAGATTCTCCTCAGACTAGCACACACCAAGACAGACTATCGTATGCTGGCCACACTCTTACTTGCCCAGGCACACTTGTCTATCAAGAGACTTTGCCCATGCAGTATCCTGAAGTCTGATGTTTACCATTTTGATGCCTCATCTTCATACAGCATTCTGAAATTGCTTAAAAGACAGGATGTCACTTTTTCCTCCTACCATTCACTCTCCATCTTCGTTTTTCTTCAGGTTACAAGTTTGGCAAAGGTCTGAACTGACTCTGAGGCCTGCTGCTGCTATTAGGGTTCCCCTCAAAACTGCTTGGTTCTACGGTGGAGGTGGGCTAGGGGAGATGCAGGCCTGACAGCCTGCTTTAGTCAGAAGAAAGGACTTGAGGCAGAAGGACCTTGCTGTAATGCCCAGGCCCAACTGTTTCAAAGCAGTCAGTTCCCATGTTCCCCCTCCATTTCCTTTGTGATACTTGATTTTGCAAGCGAGGTTCCCTGCAACAGTTGGACACCAGAGAATCATCTGGGGTGGATTCTTAAAGGGACAGATGAAGGGGGCTTTGGACAGACCTATGCCCCAGCTGCTGCTTGGAGGACTCCTGCTTTTCCTGTTGTCAGAGCAGCACTTGCTTAAAATCTGGAAGTAGAGGCAGGAGTTGCAAATGAGGGAATTCATCAACGATTATATGGGCACACTGTATTGGTTTTAAAGGAAAATCCCACTTGGTTTAATATAGGACCTAATAGGAGGATTATTGCAAGTGTTTATCATTTTGAAAGGTCATACTGCTAGCAAGAAGCACCCTCTAATTAGTGCCTCTGTACTGCTGGAAGGTGCTGTAGACATGCTGAGATGGCTCATTAGATAGCATGAGGTCAGCAGCTTGTTAGCATGTCAGCTCCATTGTTCTAACCATCTGCTTTTTTTTCCTGCAGTCCTCCGGAACATCTTCATCCTTTCCTGCATGCTTATCGTCTGCTCCCTTCTGTTCCCGGTTCTGTGGCATCTCTGGATTTATGCAGGAAGTGCCAATTCCAACTTTTATTATGCCATCACGCTGACGTTCAATGTAGGGCAGGTTAGTAATGTGAAGTGATGGGCAACACTTGGGTGGAACTGTGGTTACATGACTGTCAGATCACTAATGTCTGGTGCAGGCATTGGCCATTGTAACAAGTTTCCTGACTTTCCTTGGTCCAGCTGAATTTCACACTGCCAAGAGCTTGGTTCTGAGCACAGGAATGAGAAGTAGAACTATTCTATCTGATTATTCAAACCATGTCTTAATATTCTGCCCAGTTTTGCTGTAAAATACAGTCTGTTGCTTGATTGCAGAAGAAGGGTCTTGGGTACTTGGTATGGAAGCTGGCAGAGCAATAAAACTAGCCATGGCTTACAGTAAGTTAATGTCCTACAGATAAAAGATAGTACACAAAATCACCTAGATAATCTTCCTTGCTTCTCTTAAGCTTGAAGTCTTCAAAATGCCTTGCTCTCATGAGCATCGGTAGAATAGAAAGTGCTGAGTTCTTCAAAGGATCAGGATCCTTGTCCACAGTTTCTGCTCCCTCTGCTAATTTATTGTTCTTTAAGCTAACGTTTACTGGCAATAGATCTTCGCTGAGCCCCACATCAAGGGAACTGAATTTTCATGTTTAAATATAGAGAATTTCTAGTAGTGTGTATGCATCACTTTGAGTTGGGGCATCATGAATGGGGCCCTGCAGCTGATTCATACCAGAATAACTGGGCACGAAGTAAAGGGAAGTAAAGATGCCAGGGAGGAAGGCAAATTTGCCAGAGGTTATGAATCCCACTGATGGCAGGGAGCTAGATATGTTGGAGCCATTTTAGCCCCTTTAGGTGTGTTGCTGCCATCACTGCCAACATTTTCCCTCCTCTCTTTTCCATTGTATTTACTTAGTCTGCCTGGGCCTTCCCCGTTGCTGTTGTGAGTTCCTCAAGCCCTATTGGATTTCTTCCCTGCTGACCACTAGACCCTACTGTTCTGCCATCTGACTATTGAGGCTTGCACTACTTGCTGGTGGGCAATTTTAAATCCCTGTTGGATTTGTTTTCAGTGCCAACGCTATTAATCCACATCTCTGAGTGCTCTAGTTTGGTAGCAGTGACAGACAGCACTTGGGGCCATGACTCCATTAGTGCTCATCTCCAAAACCAAGTAGCCCAAGCATAGAAGTACAGCTTGAGTTAGTACCAGCGTCCACTAGCTGATCCTGGAGGACTGTGTTACTTAGTGAGGTCTTTGGTGGTGATTAATCATGCTGGCATCTTAATGGCTCCAACTGGGAGTGAAAAATTACAGTTGAGTCAGTCACTGGAGAAGTTTGTACCTCTTGTGTCATCATTTGTCTGCTGAGGGAGGGATTCCAGAAACATCTGTCAGTCTGTGCTCCCTGTTTAGTTGCTGAGTAGCTGAGTGCTGAGCTGATCCAGTGGGATCTCCAGTGAGAGAAATGGCAGGGAGCTATCCTTTCACATCCTATGAGTTGCTGCTGGTTTCTTGTTCTTAGCACAGTATGGGAAGATTCTTTAGATTACCTGAAGAACTAGGGTTGTAATTTGACTGTCCCTACATAAAATAGCAAGTCAGAGCGCAAAGATATATCACTTGGAATGAAGGACAAGCTTTTTTCTTTATAGGGCAGTGCTGTGCTACTTCATTACCTTTGAGGTGAAATTCATGAAGTTGATTTCAATTCCCATTTTGGGAAGTGTAATTCTCAATCCCGTCCAGTCCACCTGCATTTCTGGGAGTGTACATGATCTTAGGATCCTGACCTTCCTTGCAGGGCAGAGCTGCCCCACTTCCACCGCTTCTAGGTTCTAAGAACTTAGAACAGGGGGTATTTGCTCCTGGCTTGATTGGCTTGTTAATAATGATATGCATACAACAGCTGCTTTAAAAGAACATTTTTTAGGGCTGCAAAGTCAAGCAAACTGCATGAGGAAGTGCCAGAAATAAGGATGCCTGTGTGACCTTAATCCAGCTCTTGGTGTTATGACTTCATCTTTAATTATGTGATCCCATCCTGGTTTTCATAAGACCCTATCCCAATTCATTGCCCAAGCAGAGCAGGTCTAGCCTGTATACTGGATGAGGCTGAGACCCTATGGTAAAAATAGCATATGACAATCTAATTAAAGATATTCTCAAAATACACGGGCACAGGGGAACTGAGTTATGAATACACAGGCAAGTTTATTTGGGGTGTTGACTTTGCAAACCTGAGCAATATTATCTGAAAGTAATGTTTTGGTTATCATGTCTAAGCAAACTCCCCCTTCGGCCTGCACAGCAATGCCATCGTGTGGCATCATATTGATGCCCACATCAAGCAAGGGCCATCAGCAAGGTTGAAACCTTTCAACTGACTATGCAGAACTTTACTGCTTGAGCTGAAGGAATAAACAATAGCAACAGTAGGCTGTCATCCTCGGTGTGAGATTTTGATGCTAGTTTTCCCAGATGCTTACTGGCAGCAGATGGGGTGACGCTCACAAAGCATGGGTTTTATTCCAAGCTTTTGTGTGCAGCCAGCTCCTATAGGTGCAGACTCTTCTGCTCATTCCGCCAAGCCTAACCCCTTCTGTCCTATCCCAAATGTTTTTATTCATATCCATAATCTACTTGCCCAGTTGTTTCCAGTCCCCCCCCTTCCCAAATGAACTTCCAGCTCCATGTTCCCAGTCTCCTTGTCCAATCAGTCCTGGTTACCCCACTCCTGTTCCTTCATCCAGTCTCTCTCTCCTCCCTCTCCCCATCACTGGGCTCCCTTCTCTCCAACACCTGCATTTCATGATCTTGCTGGCTTCCAGTTTCCCTTCTTTGCCTCTCTTTTAAGATGTTCCATCATAGAGAAGTAGGGCTAGAAGGGACCTCTAGAGGTCAACTAGTCCAACCGCCTGCCTGAAGCAGGACCATCCTTATCCAAGCCATCTTGCAGGAGTGGGCAGTTATTTGTGCTAGAAGGCCACTTAACGGTTTTGGTGAGCTGTTGAGGGCCATGCACACACTCCCCACAGCTGGGCTGGGCTGGCGCCAGACCAGGAGCATAAGCCTGCCTAGGGCCATAGCATGCCCCAGCCCGTTCCCCCCTCCCTTCCCTCCCCTTCCCAGAACCTGGAGCTGGCACTGCCAACCGCACGTGCAGCTGGTGGAGTAGGGGGCAGAGCTTGACTGCAGGCCTCCACGCTGTCTTACCCTATCATCAGGTCCCCTGGCACATACATGTGCACACTCACACATGCACTCACCCCACTGCAACCCTGTGGCTCCCAGGAGCCCTGATGGCAGGACAGGGCAGTGCGCCCCATGGGGGATGCTGGGTGGCAGAATTCCTGCCTGCCCAGCATTTTGCAGTGGCCAGAGCCATTGGGGCCCAAGTATGGCTTGCCCAGGGCTTGCCTCATGGTGCTGGGTGGGTGGGGCAGCTTCTACCCACTGTCCCCCACAGTGCCTGAGAGAGATACAGTCTAGCCCAACACTCAGCCCCCGGCCTGTGTTGGTGCTGCGCAGTACCATGCAGGTGGGCAGGGTTGCCCAGAAGCCCAGTGTCCCCAGTGGCAGTAGCAGGGGCAGAAGCCTAGTGTCCCCAGCGGTCGCTGCCTATGCCACCCACCAGTAGAGGCGGCAGCCTGAGCACGGCTCACCCAGGTTCTACCTAGTGCTACCGCCCACACCACCCACTTGCGAGCTGAATAAAATCATTTGGCAGGCTAAATCCAGGCTGTATTTTTCCAGCCCCTGCTATACAGCCATAATTTGGACTCTACATAAGACTACCATCAACCCTGACACAACACGGAGCTAACACCTTAACCTGCCACAGGTACAGCAGGGGAGCCACAGCAGCTAATGTCCTACCTCTCTAAAATGTTGTCAGTATACACTCAAGAGGTCCCAGGTAGAGGGCCATACACACTACTACAGAGGAAAGCAGAAACCCCCAAAGCCCATACCAATCTGACCATGAGGTAAAATTCCTTCCTGACTCCAAATATGGTGATCAGTCTGAACCTGAACCAGAGGGGCAAGTCCTTCTAGCCAGGAACTTCTGCCTTCGGTCCCTGCAGGAGCACTGGCACATTCCAGTCGAAGTCCCCAGCCTTGACCGTAGCCAACATGCAATGCCTCTGAGAAGACTTAAAAACACCCTTATACATATAGCAGAAAAAAGGTGATGGTGGGGGAGGGAGCATGGGGGCAAACACCAAAGCCCAGAAGCATGGGAAATCCCTATGGTAGAACATAGACATAGCTACACCTAGATCTTTTCCAACCAGTGGGTGTTCAACCTCTTCTTAAACACCACCAGTGATGGAGAGTCCACAACTTCCCTAGGCAGTCTCTTCCACTGCCTCACAGTTCTAACAGTGAACAAGTTTTTCTGGATATCCAGTCTAAATTAACTTTCCTGCAACTTCAAGCCATTGGTCAGCATCCTCCTCTTGGCAGCAAGAGAGAAAAGGTGCTTTCCTTCTTCTTTATGGCAGCCCTTCAGGTATTTGAAGACTGCTATCACGTTCCCTCTGAAGGGCCTTTTCCGCAAGCTGAACATGCCTAGCTCCTTCAGCCTCTCCTTGTATGACTTGCTTTCCAGGCCCTTGATCATCTTTGTTGCTCACCTCTGGATCCTCTCTAACTTTTCCATATCTTTTTTAAAATGTGTAGCCCAGAACTGCACACAGTACTCCAGATGGGGCGTAACCAGTGCCAAGTAGCAAGGCACTGTTACCTCCCCTATCTTGCATCTAATGCTTCTATTCATACAGCTCAAAACTGCATTCACACTGCAGACTCATATTGAGTCAGTCCTTTTCCATAGTGCTGCCATCCAGCCAGGTGTCACCCATTTTGTATTTGTGTTTTTGATTATTCCTCCTGTAGGGTAGCACCTTGCATTTCTCCACTTCGAACTTCATCCTGTTAGCTGCAGACCAACTTTCCAATCTGTTGAGATCTTTCCAAATTGCACTCGCATCTTCCAACATATTCACAGTACTTTCCAGTTTTGTATTGTCTGTGGACTTGCTCAAGAATCTTTCTATGTCAGC